CCTCACAGCCAGCTTCTCAGAGCAGGGACTGCCATGACACGGGCCTCATGAGTGTTTCCTGAATCTGCTGGCCTTCTACCTCAGAGAAAGTACGATGAGGCTATGTATTGTAAAATGTAAATCAATAAGAAAACTCTTACAGAAAACCTACTCCAACTAGAACAGTGTGTATAGTAGAGGGGAACCCCCGGCATTAGATAAAGACCCCCTCCCCCCCAACATTTAGCAATAAGACATTGGATTACTTACCTGACATATATGATGACTTCTACCTCTGTGATAACAGAAGATACAAGTACAGAAAGCACCTGCTGCTCAGATATTAAGACAAGTTTCAGAAAGAGCCCTTTTTCTCTTCTATTGAATATTCCTTATTTCAGTAAGATCTGGAGAAGCAATAGGCAGGCCATGAATACACTGCACATTTTATTGCTTCCCTTTCCAATTCTAGTGATTCTAGTATTGTCATTTAATCCAGTGATAGTGTGCTAACATTCAATTGAGAAACTTCAGTTCTCTCTTCTTTGACAAATAATTTGAGTCCTCAGCAACCTCAGTTTCTTATTAATTCAAGTGGATGACAGTTCATCCAGTCCATTCAGGTGATCTGCTCCATAGGTGTGCATCTCTTTCTAATTAAGCTTCTCTGGGGAGAAAGAGGAAGAGAGCTGTTGACAGTTTAAATGTTGTTGGTCTCCTGTCAGGATACATGTTGATAGTGTTTTATCGTACATGATGGTACAGCTCCAGACCAATTCTCAGCATCTATCTAGGGCACTAGGTCATGGATTTTTCCTCAGGGAATTGCTCAAATCTATGACATGGTATTAGGTTTACTCTCTCTGACCTGTTTCAACCTTTAAACCGCTTCGAGTCCTAAGTGCCTGTTGCATTTCTTTCTAAGATCCTAGGAAGTGTGCCCACTTTCAAACCTTCGTTTTTCATTGCCATTGATATTTACTGTACAGGAATAAAAATTTATGTCACACAAAAACCTGCATGTGAAGTTCAAAGCAGCTTTATTAGAAAGTGTCTCATCCTTTTCCTGCACCGGCTTTCTGGAAACGCCTGATTCTTCTCTGGCAGGAGCTGAAGGGATTTGCCCCAAGAGTGTCTCCTGTTACCCTGACCAGGGGAGGGTGGCTCATCCCACTGGCTTGGGGAGCCCTCAGTCCTGCAGATCTTTCTTCAGACTCTCCTGGTCCAGGATTCATATACTCTTTGCTCTCATCAATGGTGGGAAGCATTGTCCTCTGACTTCCATGGGGCCTTAGGTTTTTGTATCCTGGGCTTCTGCTGCCGCTGGCTGCCCCATCCACTTGACTGGAGGTCCGATGGCATGTGGCGAGCTGGCGTTCCTCACTGGTGTGTTCTTTCCGGGAACTGAGCAGTGACCAGCGAGCAGCCAAGATGTGTAGACCAACGGAGCACACGAGTGTGAGGGCCTTGAGGGGGCATGCCAGCAGCATGGCCTTGAGGCTGCTTCTCTGACACTGCCTTCCCTTGCAGCTCAGACTTACTGGCACGCTTTGGTTTAAGGCCTAGCTCCTTTGGACCTTGGGCATCTGGCTGTGTGGGTGACAAGGGGCTTTTCCCGGACCCTTGAGGCTCTGGATTTCTCACAGGCTCCTGGACAGTCCGGGAGCTGGCCAGCACTCTGGGTCTCAATATGCCCTCCCAAAGAGGGGCCTCCTCGGCCTCCACACCCTCCCTGGCCTCTTCAGCCCTCGAAGACTGGGACCCTGAGTCTCCCTCCAGTCCTGCTACCCCATGGCAGGGGTCTTGTGAGGCCCCACCCCACTCTCCTCCCTCGGCTCATTGCTGGCCATTGCTGAACTGCCTTGCTTGGGCCGCTCGACAGTCCTGCTCCGCCAGCTTCTGCCCGTGAGGCTGAGTGTGAAGGTCTCCTGTCCAGTCAGAGGGGCCTCTGAGGGCCCACGGCCATCACCAGGTAGGGTCCCTCCCAGGGTCTCCTGGATTTCCTCACATGCTGGTGAGGGAGCAGAGAGGGGACGGGCCAGCGTGGGAATGGAGTCGTTTGTTAGCGAACTGTGATGTTTCTCTCCTGGAGGGGCTGAAGAGGTTGGCCCTCCAACCTCCCAAGAGCTTGGCCAAAATGGCTTTTGAGTGGGCCCCAGAGTCACAGGTGGCTGAGCGGGGAAAAGTGGCCCCTGGTAGCCATGGGAGGGTGCTGGGTCAGAGGAGCCAGGGAAACTGCAGGCGACACGGCAAGAGCAGCATCTTCCACACACTCCACGCACGGCGTGTGGGCTCCGGCAGATGTGGTTTGGCCCACCTCACCAGGGGAGTCTTGAGGTGACAGCAGGTGAAAGTCACCCTCATAGGAGAATCTCCCTGGGTAGCTGCGGGAGACAGGAGGCACAGGCTGCAGCCAGGAGCAGGTGGGCCCGGGAGGGCTGGGCAGGCCAGGCAGGGGTGGCCACTTGAGGCCCACGGCCTTCCACAGCCCCCACCAGCACTTCACAAAATTCTTCTGCTGTCGCTCACCCCAGGCCTTTAGCCACACCCTGTCCCCCCAGCTCCCCTCCCAGCTCAGCCCTGAGGCCACTTCATAGGCTCTGGGAGGAAGAAGGACCCAGGAGAGAAGGGGAAGATTCTTTACCTTTGTGGAAGAGAAATCAGTCCCCACACTTCTTCCAGTACTTTCCACCAAACTCTGTAAGCTAGAAATCAGGAGACCGGGTCACAGTGCTGAAGGCAGGGGCCTAGGGCTCTTACAGAAGGCTGCGTGCAATGTCCCTTTAGGGGAGACCATTAAGGGGTCGGACTCCGGAGCCCAGGCGTCAGTGTTCAAGGCCACGTGATCCCTGACAGGGAGAGCAAGGCTCATCGTGGGTTGAGATTTGTCATTGACAAGGGGCCTTCACCTCCACTACAGCCCCCATGCCCCTGCTAGGCAACACCCATTTCCAGGCTCCTCCCGACTTGGGGCTTGGTTCCCAGCAGAGACTCAGGCAAGTATCCGGGTTCTCATCTCCTTCCCGGCGCCCTCCCTGAGGGCTCTGTTTCCTGATGCGCAGGATCTGCCTCTGGCATCCTCGGAGCCCGTGGGGCTGGGCGCTCAGGGACAGGAGAGATGGAGGCGAGCTCTCGGGGCACAGGGCCAAATGGCAGAAGCTTACCTTTCAAAGCTCCACGTTTCTGTTTCTTCCCACGCCTCCCGTGCCTCCCCCTCCTCCTCGGCTCCACTCCAAACTGAGAGGTGAGAAAAAACAAAAAACTCCAGGGGCTGAGACCCGGCGCTCCCTCTCCTCTCTCCAGACCAGCTGCAGACGCTCCGTGTTCTTGAGCAAGGTGACTTTCTACATTGACCTCCTGCAGCTCTGTGCTGGTTCTTTCCTTTGACTCATTTTTAAAGTGGATAATTGAACATAAAATGGATATTTTCTGTCTTCCTTCTTTGAAGAACATAAGGAAGGATTTTCTATGTGAGACCCACCACGGATTTCTTCCATCACTGTCCTTCTGCTCAAGAAATACACGCATTCTCAGACCTACAGACGCTTCTGAGCTTCCTCAGGTAGGCCTCTGCTTCCCGAGGCCTGAGCCCCACTCCAGCCCCTGCTCAGAGGCTCTCGGGGACTCAGCTCTGCCCTCAGATCAGGCCCGACAGAGGAAAAGCTTACCCAAGACACCCGCCACGGGGAGGTGGCTGGTGAACCAATGCTCAGGTCCTGTCCTCCCAGACAGATCCAACTCAGTATCCAGTCCTCGGCCACTGGTCACTGCGTTGGGGACTTTGCCCTGGAGCCCTCTACCACACCTGGACTCTCGTTCCAAGATCTTCGGATGGAAATCCTTGTGCCCACTCTAACCCCTGCACGCCCGGCCTGGCTTGTCCCTAGAAGGATGATGTTCTGTTCTTTCCCACCCCGGGAGTCCCTCTAGTTGATTCAGAAAAGTGGAAATCATGGTAGAAAAGAAGAGAAAGTTGTCTTCTGGTGGGTCTTGGCCAAGAGTTTCTTGCCTTCCTGGTGTTTCTCCATTTCCTGGGTGGCGGTAAGGAGGGATTACTCTGGAGGTAGGGAAAGAACAGGAAGGAGAGCCTGAGTCCACACAGGAAGGCAAGAATGGTAGCAATAACGCTTTTCAGAAACGAGAAGATTCTCCATGTCTGAAACACAGTGCTGCCCTCAGGCAACTGAGCTCTGAGAGTGGCTGGGAGATTATTACCCCAGGGCCCCCTCACTGATCTGTGGCTGTGTCCAAAGGGCTCCTGAGGGCTGAGGAGGGCACAGAAGGGGAGCAGGCTGAACCACAGCCCCTCCCCCACCCTCCAGCCAACTGAACTCCATCCCGCCACCCTCCTGGGCCTTCTAGATCTTAGTCAATTTTCTATTCCTTCTACCTGGAAGCCAGATGTGACCTGGTTCCTTGTAACTCTTGGAGACTTTGGTTTGAACCCACTCATTTCATAGCTGTGGAAAGTATGAAGTTCTTCCAGGAATTTGGGCTATTTCCCAGGGATCTGTACTCTTACAACCTGCTCTGTCCTCCACTCCAATTTTTTTTTCACCTCACACATTTACGTTTTGTGTGCGTGTGAGAACACTTAAGTGCTACTCTCTTAGCTAATTTCAATTATACAATTGAGTGTTATCAACTCTAGTCACCACATCATACATTAGGTCCTCAGACCTTCTTTGTCTTATAGCTGAAAGTTTGTACCCTTTTACCAGCCTCTCCCTATTTTCCCCACCCCCCGGCCCCTGGCAACTGCTTTACTACTTTCTATCTCTATGAGTTTGACCTTTTTGTTGTTGTTTTTAGATTTCACATATAAGTGATACCATGCAGTATTTGTCTCTCTCTGTCTGGCTTATTCCGTTGAGCATAACACCCTGCAGGTTCCTCCATGTTGTGCAGATCTCAATTCCATTTCTCCACATAATAAGTTTTTCAGTTTTGTCAATCCGGAAGCCGAAATTTATTTTATACTTATTCACTTTAGAATATTTAAGTTGTTATTGTTTCCATCAGCCTTTGCTCTCTTCACTCAGAACGGCTGACACAAAAATTCGAACTAAGGATTTACTATTTAAAATAAGTATAATAAACATATAAATAATTAAACCTCCAAGTAATGTGTTTTATGTTAGTAGCATTTATACTTCTGAAGTTAGAAAAGCTTCACCAAGACTTATGGGACATGCTATGCACACACACACACACACACACACGCAAATGCACACACATACACACATTTTCACAGACCAATTCAGTATTTTCAAACCCAAGAGTTAAGCATTTTCTCATTTTCTTTAGATCTTTTCTATGTTGTCTTGACCCTATTTCTTCTTACTCTGCCTAAAATAGACAGTCTTCACCATCCAGAGTTTAGACACATGTGTGGCCCACTCAGAAGCCAGGCATGGGTCAGGTGAGCTAAAGTTCTGATCTTTAGAGTGGACGTTGGGACTCGGTCCATAGCCCGAGTTTGATTCCAGTCTTAAGCAGCCCTTTCCAGTCTCTGGAGTGTGCCCTACACGTATTCTCTTTCTTGGAGTAGCCCTTGCCTTCCCCCTCCTGCCCCCTCTAGGCCCCTAGAGCCTCAAGTCTTGCCTGTACCTTATAGAGAGGGCACTTGGGGTCCTAGAGGAATTCCCTGGTGACATCATTGGACATCTTTGTGGCAGCGGGAACTGAGGATTCACTTCGGGATTGTACTTTTTGATCACTACGTAGGTTAACTTTTCTGACAAGTTGGAATATGGGCTTGAAAAGAATGTATATTCTCCAATGGAATACTACTCAGCCATAAAAAAGACAAAACCGTCCCATTTGCAACAACATGGATGGGCCTGGAGGGTATTATGTTAAGTGAAATAAGCCAGAAAGAGAAAGACAAACACTGTATGATCTCACTCATATGTGGAATATAAACCAACACATGGACAGAGAAAACTGTATTGTGGTTACCAGGGGCAGTGGGGGTGGGGGGGGCGGGGTGGGGGGTGGGCGCAAGGGGTGAAGGGAGTCATATATATGGTGATGGACAAACAAAAATGTACAACCCAAAATTTCACGATGTTAAAAAGCATTAAAACATCAATAAAAGAAAAAAGGAATGTATATTCTCTGTTGGTCATAGAGTTTCACATAGCTTTAATGGGAATGAGAGCATTTGAGTTCATTTGCCTGTACTGTCGTCAACGCATGTGTTCAAGAGCATGCCTTTCGCATCTACTGTTGTTTTTATCTGTCTCAGCCTCTTCACCTCTTATATTTTCACCGGCGCGTGACGGTGCCCAGTGTGAGCGACTACGGTACCTTGGGAGCATGGAGAGTGCCAATCTGGACAACTAGGGCCAATGGGGAGCATGGTGTGTCCTGATTTCTGCTTCATTTGCAAAGGGACTGAGAGGTGGGCCTCATTTTGACCTAGAAAATCAGGCTCGGGGGTGCAAGGAGTCACCTTCCAATATGACTCTGCGAGATCATATATATAGGTCTCTGCCCCCAGTTCCTGGCACAGAGCTCCTGAAACCCTTGTAATTTCTTAGGAAATAAGAACACTAGGAGCTTCTTTTGTTCTACTATTTGGTTTTTGACCCCAGTTACTGACACAGTGCTCCCAAAACCCTTGTCATTTCCTGGGTGACAGGACTGTCTTTTGTTCTAATTAGGAGACTCTAGGTGGGCTCCTGGATAGCTCCTGGCTGAGGGCTGGTCACCAGAAAGACAAAGCCATGAGTAGAAACTTGGAATTTTTAGTCCCACCCCCCCATTCTCTTGAGAAGGGAGAAGGGCTGAATATGGAGTTAATATTGATTATGCCCACATAAGGAATCTCCGTAAAATTTCAAAAGTGCATGGTTCAGGGAGCTTCCAAGCAGGTGAAGACATCCACGTTCCAGGAGGGTGATGCACCCCAACACCACGGGAGCAGAAGCTCCTCTGCTCAGGACCCTCCCAGACCTGGCCCTATGTATCTCTTCATCTGGATGTTTATCTGTATCTTTATCATATCCTTTAATAGACTGGTAGATGTAAGTAAGTGTTTCCCTGAATTCTGTGAGCTGCTCTAGCAAATTAATCAAACCTGAGGAGGGGGTTGTCGGTACCCTGGATTACTAGGTATATGGAACAGAAGTAGGTAACCTGAGGACTTACTCCTTGTGATTGGCATCTGAAGTGGGATGAAATAGTGTCAAGTAGATAGTGTAAGAATTGAGTTAAATTGTAGGACACCCAGCTGGTGTTGCAGAGAATTCCATGTTGTAGGAAAAAGCCTCCACATATTTGGTGACCAGAGGTGTCAGAGTGAAGTGTTCTGTGTGAGTGTGGTAGTGGTGTGAGAACAAAGGAGACACACAGGAGAAACACAGGAAATTCTGGTAAAAAGAATTTCAAGAAAAGATTTACATGTTTATTTTCTGTAATTTTCCCAGGGGACTGGCTGAGCACATCGTTTTTCTATTTGTTAATTTAATATATTTGAAAACCATAAAAGAGAAAATAAATATCACCAATACTCTCATAGTCCAGAGATGATCACTGATAACACATGACTATATATTACATTCAAGGCATTATTCTATCTATATCACGTGTGTTCAGATGCATTTTAAATCCTACAGACAATTCAGTAAGCAGAGCTCTGGGGGCACCAAGCAGGAGAAAAGGGCAGGGTGGCGCTCTGGAGCGCCTGGCAGCGTGCTCACGGGGGAAAGCCAGGATGGACTCAATGTGGAAATGGGGAAAGAAGCATCTGGGAGATGTGGCCCCAGACACAGGGCGGGAGGGGAAGTGGAAAGAGAGGAAGAGGGGCAGTAGGAGAGAGGAAAGGAGAGGTCAGCCTGGGACAACAGAAAGGAGAATGCACGGAACAAGGGCCAAGACCACCAAACATAGGCCTACTCCAGGCATGGCCTCCTGGTAGGAGCCTGATGTCTGGCTCTCTACATCAGAGTGAGGCTCTTCTCTCCAACACCTGATGCCCACTCCAGCACATGCTCCCCACTTCAGCACCTGGTCCCCACTTCAGCTCCAAGGCACTTCAGTGGCCTCGTGCACTGACATTTTCTGACTAAAGTGTCTGTGCCATTATATTCCATGGTCCCCTTCCAAGGGGATTTGCAGCCTCCTGCAGTGGGAGCTACTAACATTGACAAAGGTGTGGACATGATGCTAAGGGACAACTGTCAATGAGCAATCCTTCATTCTTCATAGACTTGAGTATTTAATAGCACTCAAAGAGTTCCCAGATAGAAGTGGGAAGAGAGGTAGTGGTGCTACTGAGGGTCTTGTTTCAAAATTCAGAGGACCTGAGGGGAGGCACTTGGAAGTGGCTGAGCTAAGAACTTCCTGAATCAGCAAGAAAGGGCTTGCAAGGCACTGTTTGCATTTCAGCTCTTTTCCTGCGTCAGCAATAGTGAAAAGCTGAGCTCAGCTCCCTTCTTCGCTACAGGCACTGGGATTGACTCAGGTTTGCTTTGTTGCCTTGCAAGGCACCTCTGCTTCTGAAGTTCTCCTGTCCTCACTCATCGGAATGGTACCGTTTTGCGAGAACTTTCCCTAAATTAGGACGCCAAGGTTTGACTCATGGCTCAGGTTCTGACCTCCTCTGGGACCTCAGGGAAGGCGCTAGGCTGCCTGATTTTCCATTTACATCTCTGAAAAACGGGGGAGACAGTTGAGTTCTGAGATACTGGGAGAGTTCTTCCAAGACATCTGCAAAGTCAGCTGAGCTACTCAGCCTTGGCTGATCCAGAGATGCAATGCCTTGTTATCTGTAGATATTAGTTTGGATCTTGGTACATTCCTCTTGCTCTGGCAAGGTAGTCTTTCTTTACACACAATTGCTCTATTGCTTCTTGAATTAAGAACCAGCAACAACAACTTGTGGTTCGGGAGTTGGCTGTGTTCTAATTCAAAGAGATATGGCAGTTATCACAGCTTGCAATAGAGAAGTCTCTGCTCAGTCACGTGACAGCTGGCTTTGTAAACTGGACACAAGAGAAGAGCATATGATGCGTGTCCTATGAATATATCTCAGGGCCAAATTTTGGACAAGTGCCTACATTCCCATTAATCCGAGCCAAATGGTTTCCTTTCAGCTGTCATCAGAAGTGTGAGATTTGACTTCTAAGGGAAAGGAAACAGGGAAGTGGACTCGCTCATCAGCATCATCTCTAAGGCTGTGTCTTCCAGTGGGAAATGAAATCTCCTTCCCCTTTGGCAGTCTCGAGAAGTATGCTACCCAGGGTCAAGCTGCTTCTTCTCAAGTATAGGTTTGCTATTTTTTTCTTTTTTTTTTTTTTTTTGTGAGGAAGATCAGCCCTGAGCTAACATCCATGCCAATCGTCCTCTTTTTGCTGAGGAAGACTGGCCCTGAGCTAACCTCCGTGCCCATCTTCCTCTGCTTTATGTGGGACGCCGCCACAGCATGGCTTGACAAGTGGTGCGTCAGTGCGCGCCCGGGATCCAAACCCGGGCTGCCAGCAGCAGACAGTGTGCACTTAACTGCTATGCCACGGGGCTGGCCCAGGTTTGCTATTTTATAAATGGTGAGCTCTGAAAAGGCAAGGCTGAAAGATTCTGCCCTGGGCTGCATATATACCATGGCACCACTGGGAGAAACGTTTACAGGAGGAATGTTTCCACCCTTTGAGCAAATTGCTTAGCGGAGGACATTAAGATAGAGAGCACTCAGGCTGCAGAGGGAGAGCCATGGGTTACTCTCCTTCCAATTGTGTCCTTCCTTGTAAGTGAAATATGACATGGGCAATGGCATAGGTTGTAAATGTGGGAAAACGTAAAACGAATTGATGATAATCGTGTACCATTGACATGTATGTAATTTGACACGTAAGTAATTTGACATTCGCTTGCCATTAAGAGTGGATATTTGTAAACTAAAAACAGTAAACAATTATTGCCTATTAAAGGGAGGGTTCTACTATGTTTTAATTAATTTTTCTGTTCTCTTAGTGCTTCTGCTGTATTTCTATGCACCTTTCAGAAGATGAGGTTTATAAATGGCTACTTGCTTGCTCACACTTCTAGCTAATTGGTCTGGGAAGCCATAGAAAGAAGACTCTAATGTTGCAGTTCAACTCACTACAGAGCTTTGTGAGAAGAAATGCAGTTGAAAAATAAAGTCCTATCAGATCATTCTCTAAGGCATGTGGCCTGTGCCTCTACCACATTTAAAAGTTGATTCAGGTTGGTTCAGTAACTCAAAGTGGAGAAAGTATTAGTGACTGTGAAAGCATTCATTGTGTTCTTCCAAGCTCCTTAGTATATAAACACAAATTAACAACAGAAGTGTCTGATGTTCCAAAATGAATAACAAAGTTAAGTTCTTTAGAGAGTGTAAAAATCACTCTATCCAAATTCGATTCCACTCAACCAA